AACAGAAAGCCTCATCTTTCTCCCCCAGAGGAGCTGGTGGGCTGGAACTGCTGGCCTTCTGGTTAATAAACCAACACATGAATCAACACACCACCAGAACTCTTTAAGCAGAAAGCAGTGTGGGAAGGGAGGAAGGGAGAAAAAGAGCAGTTGGTAGGTAGACAAGCAACTCTCAAAAAAGAAAGCAAGAAGTCCATAAGGCAGTGACAGAAATCAAATTTGTTCCCTCTGGAAAACTCAAGTCTCCTCAACAAAAAATAATTAATGAATGCTGTTTTTCCCAAATACATCTCAGTCTCAGGAGCCTCGGATGCTCAAGGAAGCAATAATAATCCCTTAGTTCCCATCTTTAAAGTCGCTAATTGATAAGAACCACACACAGAGAGAGATTGCTGAGCATTCAGCCTTCACTGGGTGTAGGAACAAACCTTCCATAAGTAAAGAAAACTGCGTTTTTCAAAAGCAGGTGGGTATCATTGCAGTTTGAAAGGGCAACAGTTGAACAAAAGGGTCAGATATTAAGCTCCAGCATGTTCCACACCAAGACCTAGAAGAATCATCACCCTGCTAATAATAGATACTATGTAAGGGAATTGAGTGCTAACTGGAAAAAGGATAGGAGTGAATGAATAATTGATTCATTGAGTGAATAAATGAGTCAATCAATATTTTATTACTTTAATGTATAGGTTGCATGTGTTATTATGGTCATTTGTAGAGCACCTATTCAATGCATGGTTATGTGCTGGGAAATTGACATAAATCTGCCCCCGGGAACCTCACCTCCCTGCAAAGCAGTCTTTGCTTTTTCCTTCCAGGAAATTTTTAAAACTTATTTTGAAATAAATATATATTCACAAAGGAGCCCTAGCTATTCTGTTAGGTAAGCATTGAACTGCTGTGAGGTCGATGGTTCAAACCCAGAAACTGCAAGAGAAAGCTGAGGCTGTCACCCTCCTGTAAAGATTTACAGCCTCGGAAACTATATAGGGTCACTAGCATGGGGGAATTCACTGATGTTATTGATGGAATATATTTTACAGTAAATTGCAAAGACTGTAACCATCACCCAATTTACTCCCTATCATTATCTCTGTGTAATTATAAGATTACTAGAACATCAGAGAAACAGATCTGTCCAAACATGCATTCGAAGGAAAACAACTGACAAGGTTTTAACCATTCAAGTCAGGGTTATCATTTTGATCTCCTGCAGTCATCTTTTCAATGAGCTCTATTTGGTAACCAGTTTTTCCCCATCCCTCTATTATGAATAGAAGGAAAGAAATCAGCAGAGGATTATCTCACAAATGTATCTTAGGCTTCCACTGTCATCCACAGCCTTCTACAAACCAGAATCTCACAATTGAGGCTCTGATACTATTCCCTCCTTTGGATTTGGATTGTGTGATTTACAATTCTTTGGTCACTGGTGTGGGTGTGCTTCTTCCATAGGGACTTAACTGACATCTCACTTAAATGGCTGCTTTTTTGTAAACAAGCCTTAAGACCCTCAGATGCTATTTTATCTGACAGCTAGCACCATCTGATTTCTTCACCACATGTTGCTACAGAATCCATACATATTTCCTGTGTTTCCTTCCTGAGGACAAGTACTGAGGAGGGCCATGATATAAGAACTAATTGTTCTTAAATTGGAGCTAGGATTTGGTGAGAGCCCCAAACCCATTCCTGGATTTATGTGTTTTTTTGTTTGTCTGCTTTGTTTTTTAACTCTGCCTTTGGCGCCCTTCAGAGACCTCCTTGTTTGGGGTAGATTTCTCAAATAAGTCGTCTGGAAATAGAAATACTTCATTACTTCCTTTCCGATCTGTATGTTCCTAATTTACTTTCTTATTGTATTGCATTAGCAAGAGCATCCAGGACTGTATAGAAATGCAGTGTGGAGTATGGACAGCCTGGCTTGTTCCCTATCTCAGGAAGAAAACTTTCAGTTTTAAGCTCTTAGTATAATGTGAACCATAGAGGTTTTTGGTGTATGCTATTTATTAAATTAAAGAATTTACCCTCTATGTTTTTAATAATTTTTGTAATCTAAATGTTGAATTTTGTCAATGATTTTAAGTCACTTTATATAATCCTGGATTTTTCTACCTTAGACTATATATACGTCACTCACTCACTGCCTTCAAGTTGATGCAGACTCATATTGACCCGATAGGACACGTTAGAGCCGTCCCTTTGGGTTTCTGAGACTGTACAGGATTAGAAAGCCCCGTCTTTGTCCTACATAAAGATGGTAGATTACATTAATTTCTCTTTAAATATTAAACTTAGCTTCATTGCAAAAATAATTTCACTTGGTTATAGGGTGCAATTTTCTATATATGTGTGTTAATTATATTTTAAGATATTTTGTTAAATATTTTTGCATCTATATTTATGAGAGGTATTGAGCTGTAGGCTTTGTTTATTTTGTTTTTGTTGTTTTATTTTGGGATGTTTTTGTATGATTGGTGTTCTGCTTTGTTATCAGAGTAATACTAGATTCATATAATTAGTTGAGAAATGTTCTGTTTACTTCTATTTCTGAAAGAAATTGTATAAATTTGATGTCGATTCTTTTAAAACACTTTATAGAATTCTTCAGTGTTTTCTTTTTTGCAAGCTTTTAATTTGTGAATTCTGTTGCCTTAATAGTTAAAGGGACAAAAAAAGAAGGAAAGTTTAAAAAAATAGTTAAAGGGCTACTGAAATGTTCTTTCATCTTGGACAAATGTTGGTAGTTCGTACTTTCCTGTGAAGTAATCCATTTACCCTAAGTTGTCAAATCAGTGTTCATGAGGGCAGTGGTGAATCAGTGGAAAAATTCTCACCTTATTGTAGGACACCGAGGTCCAATTCTCAGCCAGTACATCTCAAGCAGAGACACCACTTGTCTGTCAGTAGAGACTGATGTATTGATGTGATGTGACCCTGCTTCAGCTGAATTTCCAGACTGTGAAAGGGGAACCCAAAAACCCCAGGAATTTTTTTTCAAAGCTATATATTTAAATATTTTTACAAACCAACCTTAGCACCTTCAAAGTATTCTCCATTACACTTAATACATTTGTCAAATCTGCAATTCCATTCTTGGAAACATTTTTCAGACTCATCTTTTTGGATGGCTGATAGCATCCCTCTTGTTTTTGTTTTGTTTTCACCTCTTCTACGGCATCAAATTGTTGTACTTTCATGTCCCTCTTCATTCATGGAAACAGAAAGAAGTCACACAGAGTGAGGTCAGGTGAGTAATGTGCATGGGTCAAGAGAAGCATGCTGTTTTTTGCCAAAAATTGGCTCACTGAGATGGCTACGTAAGCAGGTGCATTGTTGTGGCTAAACCAGTCTCCTGTATGCCACAAACCAGGCCTTTTTTGCCATACACTTTTATGCAATCTTTTCAGAACCTCTAACTAGAAAGCTTGATTAACAGTCTGACCTGGTGGAATGAACTCCAAATGCACAACGAGTCAACATTTTCATCTGTTCAGGCAGTTGGCAGATGTCCAGAATGAGGTTCATCATCGATTGTCATTTCACCTTTTTTGAAACAAGCAAACAAAAAAGCTTGTACACTTGAGTTTTTCCCATAGGACTGTCCTTATAAGCTGTGTTCAATATCACAACAGTTTCTGCAGCATTTTTCCCAAATTGGAAACAAAATTTCACAGCTGCACGCTGTTCTCTTAAATTGGCCATCACACACACACAAAAAAAACACAAGGTCTGAGCGAAACTGGTTTTATTTAAAAATTCACTATGACCAGAGAGAACCTACCCAGGCAATGGCACTGGGTACACAAACTCAGAGTGAGTTTCTTGACGCTTGCCTAGAAGGAAAAATGCATACTGCAAAAGCTCCACTCCACCCAGCGCAATTCCGTTTTGGGGAGGGTAACCCCTCATAAATAATGGTCTGGTCATCTTCTTTCAAAAAGAATCAGTCAGAGAAAACCCTGTGGATCATAACGGTCTAATTCCAATGTGCATGGGGTCGCCTCGAGATGGAGGCAACATGGCAACAACTTAGAAACAAAACAGAAATTGCTCCTTGTATTCCTTATTGTCATTTGTCATCTTTAAGGTTTGTAGTGATGGCCCCTGTTCCATTCATTAGCCTGTTTCATCCTAGCACATGCACTATTAAAATGTAAGGGAGAGATGTAAGGGGTGGAGAGCCATTAAATAGGAGATACATTATTAAAAAGGCCTAGAGGAACCAAGATTTCCAGATAAAATCATGTTTATTGAGGTGTGTTGGTGTGTTTTAGTTAGAATATACAGTGCATATAAGAAAGTAGAACTAAATCAAATGTTATGTCTGTTCCTTAATTGATTCACTGTGAGATGTTCCTCAACTTTCAAACGGAGAACACAGTTACGGGTCCATGGCTATTTCCCCATACCCAGAAAATTAATTTAGCTACAGCATTGTCTTTAAAAGTCAAATCCATTAGACCATAGAAAATACAACCTTACCCTTCTGTGAAACCAAATATTATACCATATCCAATTCTGTATTTAGTTGAAAGGCCACAATTACCTTAGTTTTCTCTGTTCTCAATTTGCAACTTTTCAGCTGATATTTAACCTCTGCTAACCATGGAACAAGAAAATGGCACTGACATAATGGAATTCATTCTCCTGGGATTTTCAGGTCAACACAAATTTTGGCATATCCTCTTTGTAGTATTTCTAGTGATCTATGTGACCTCCCTTGTGGGTAATCTTGGGATGATCCTTCTCATCAAGATTGACTCTAGCCTTCACACCCCTATGTACTTCTTCTTACAGCACTTGGCTTTTGTTGATCTCTGTTATTCCTCTGCTATCGCTCCCAAGATGTTGCAAAACTTCCTAAGTACAGACAAATCCATCTCATACAGAGGATGTCTAGTACAATTGCTAGTCTATGGTATTTTTGCAACAAGTGACCTCTACATCCTAGCTGCTATGGCAGTGGATCGCTATGTGGCCATCTGCAACCCACTCCGCTATCCAGTAGTCATGTCACAGAGAGTCTGCATTCAACTGCTACATGGCTCATACTTCATGGGTTTATTAAATGGATCTGTAAATGTAAGTTTTACCTTCTCATTGAACTATTGCGAGTCCAATGCAATTAACCACTTTTTCTGTGATGAGCCTCCAATTCTTGCCCTTGCGTGCTCCAATGTTTACATTAGCATCATGGTACTAGCAGTCTTTGTGGGGTTTAACTTGGTGTTCACCGTGTTGGTGATCATCTTTTCCTATGCATACATCCTAGTGGCCATCCTGAAGATATCTTCTACAGCTGGGAGAAAAAAGGCCTTCTCTACATGTGCCTCTCACTTGACAGCTGTCACCATTTTCTATGGGGCGCTGGCTTACATGTATCTACACCGTAGTACCACTGAGACTCAAGAACAAGAAAAAGCAGCTTCTGTGTTTTATGGCATCGTGGTCCCCATGATAAATCCTTTGATCTACAGCCTGAGAAACAATGAAGTTAAAGAAGCTCTAAAAGGGATCAGAAAGAAGTTCTTTTAGTTTGAACTTCCATTTCAAATACTCTAGACATTTAAACAAGGAGCCCTGGTGGTGCTGTGGGTTAAGCATCAGTCTATTTGCCCAATCCACCAGTCACTCCATAGGAGGAAGATAAGGCAGTTTGCCTTTTTAATGATTTACATTTTTTGAAAAGCCAAGAAACAGTTCTACTCTGTCCTACAGGGTTGCTATAAGTCAGAATTGACTAGATGCAAATGGGTTTGGTGGTGGTTTTTTATACATGTATACAACCAGAGTAGCAAAATGAGAGTGCCCAGTTTTAGAAAATCAGAATCAAACAGGAAACACAGAAATATAGAAGAGCTGTTCCATCTTATCAATGGTGAAATTATTAATGGTGAAATTAATTAATTAATTGTGTAATTCAAATTAAAATTAAAATGAGCTAACCACTGTATTAACCCATCTGTTGAAATTTTTTAAAGAATGACAATCCTTATCCCTTGCTATAATGTAAAGAAAAGGATACTCTCATATGCTGTTAATGGAAAATTGAAGTGTCATTTTACTTTGGAAGGAATCTGACTATGTTAGACAGGGTTCTCTAGAGAAACAAAACCAGAATGCTAATAATTTCATATATATTTTTATACAGATAGATAGATAGATATATAACATAAGAAATAAACAGTTAATTAGATAATAAAGCAGTACAAATGGCTCAGTGCAACTCACTCCCATGAGACAATTGTGAGACACTGGGAGTCCTTCAAGTCTTGAGAGCCACTGGGTAGTCCTCTGTAGAGCAATTCAGGCTATCCAGGCACAGGCAGCAAACAGCAAGGCAGATCACCAACAGTCAGCCAGATGACAGGGTCCAACAGTCCACAGCTCAAAAGATGTAAATTCCAATGGTGTGGCAAAGCAGGTCTTGAAAGAACCTCAAATTACAGTGACACAGTCCAGGGGTTAGGTGTCCCACAGGTAGTGTAGCTTGAAAATTGAGGCACAGAACAAGCAAGCAGCCGGCGGGTGAGTCTCGCGGAGCCATTTATCTCTCCGCCCTTCAATTAACCCCACATGTTTTATCAGTCAGGTTGGCACAATAAACTAACTACCTCACTGACAAGGTACTTTTTAAAAGAAAAAAAATATGTATAGCAATCCTGAATGTAACTCCTGCAAATTGAGCTAAAGTTCATAAGGCTATATCTTAAAAAATGTTTTATTGTGATATTGTTTATGAAGTAAAGATCCAGATAACAGGGAAATAAATGTATTCTAAACACAATTTTCACTAGCTATCTATTACTGTATGACAAATCCTCACATAGATCAAGAATATGTGATTATTATATTGTATGTACAGGCAGCCCATTGAAGGAGTTCCATTCCTAAGTCTGTCTTTAAGTTGGATTTTATCTACATAGGAACAATGAGGTACAGTTCGCATCTAAGGTCAGTTATTCAAATGTTTGTCTTAATATATAATAGACATGTCCATGCATAAAAAAAACATTAAAAAAACAAACTCTTGCAGATACACTAAAGCCTCTATAACCTTAACAAAATAATATTTTTATGTCCTTCACAGAAGAGTTCTCATTTGTTATTACAACCGTTGCTGTGGTTAGATGCCATCAAGTTGGTTCCAACTCATAGCAACCATATGCACAAAAGAATGAAACACCAGCCTGTTTCAGTCCTCACAGGACTGTGAGGATGGCACAATCCTCACAATTGTTCTTACGTTGGAGCCCATTGTTGCAGTCACTGTGTCAATCTATCTTGTTGAAGGCCTTCCTCTTTTTCACTGCTCCTCTACTTTACCAAGCACGGTGTCCTTCTCCAAGTACTGGTCTCTCCTGATAGCATGTACAAAGTACCAGAGACAAAGTCTTGCCATCCTTGCCTCTAAGCAGCAGTTTGATTGTAGTTCTTCCAAGATAGATTTGTTTGTTCTTTTGATATTCTTCCCCAGAACCATAATTCAAATGCATAGATTCTTCATTCCTTTAACAATGTCCAACTTTCATATGCATATGAAGCGATTGAAAACACCATGGCTTGGGTCAAGCACACCTTCGTCCTCGAGAGAACATCCTTGCTTTTCAACACTTCAAGTAGATTCACCCAACGCAAAGTGCCCTTTTACCTCATGACTGCTGCTTCCTTGAGCATTGATTGTGGAGCCAAGCAAGATGCAATCCTTCACAATTTCAACCATTTCTCTATCATAATTGGTCCATTTGTGAAGATTTTGGTCTTATTTATATTGTTATAATCCATACTGAAGACTGCAATCCTTGATCTTCATTAGCAAGTGCTTCAAGTCCTTCTCTCACTTTCAGCAAGCAAGATGTGTCATCTGCGTATCGAAGGCTGTTAATAAGCCTTTCTCCAATCTTGATGCCACATTCTTCTTTATATAAACCAGTTTCTCTGATTCTTTGTTCAGCATACAGAATAAATAAATATGCTGAAAAGATACAAATCTTATGCACAACTTTCTTGACTTTAAGCCATGCAGTAACAGTATTCCCTTGTTCTGTTCAGACAACTGCCTTTGATCCGTGTACAGGTTCCTCATGAGCACAATTAGGTGTCCTGGAAGTCTCATTCTCTCAAGTCTATCCATACATGAGCCACACAGTCAAATGCCTATACATAGTCAATAAGCATAAGTAAACAGGCGCTGGTAATCTCTGTCGTATTTTACACTGTTCAACGTTTCCCTTCACCCACTTTTCTGTTGTCTGTCACACAGGGAGGAGGATATAATGTAGATCCCTGTAATCCCTTTCCAACCTACCCTCCTTCCACACTCCCGGCATCACCACTCTCACCACTGGTCCTGAAGGGATCGTTCGCCCTGGATTCCCTGTGTATCCAGTTCATATCTGTACCAGTGTACATCCTCTGGTCTAGCCAGATTTTTAAAGTAGAACGGGGATCATGATAGTAGGGGGGGTGGGGGAGCATTTAGGAACTAGAGGAAAGTTATATGTTTCATCGTTGCTACACTGCACCCTGACTGGCTCATCTCCTCCCCATAACCCTTCTGTAAGGGGATGTCCAATTGCCTAAAGATGGGCTTTGGGTCTCCACTCTGCACTCCCCCTTATTCACAATGATATGATTTTTTTGTTCTGATGATGCCTGATACCTGATCCCTTCGACACCTCATGATTGCATAGGCTGATGTGCTTCTTCCATGTGGGCTTTGTTGCTTCTGAGCTAGAAGGCCGCTTGTTTACCTTCAAGCTTTTAAGACCCCAGATGCTATATCTTTTGATTTCCAGACACCATCAGCTTTCTTCACCATATTTGCTTATG